ACCATAGTAAAGGGCACCTTTGGTTACTTAGATCCTGAATATTATCGACGCCAAAAACTAACAGAAAAGTCTGATGTTTACTCATTTGGAGTGGTACTTTTTGAGATTTTATGTGCTAGGCCTGCTGTGATGCCAATGGGAGAAATTGAAGATGAGGAATATGAGAAAGTAAATTAGGCAGAATGGGCATCAAATTGCTACCAAATGGGGACTCTTGATCAAATAATTGATCCATATTTGAAGGGAAAGATTGCCCCAGAATGCTTCAAGACTTTTACCAGTATAGCTAGGAAGTGTTTAGCAGATAAAGGAAGTGAAAGACCGTCCATGGGAGATGTGCTTTGCAATTTGGAGCTTGCAATGCATCAGCAGGATGCTGCTGATTTACTAGAGGACATGGCTCAAAAGGTGGCCAATGGGAGGATGAATGGTGAAGTTACAATAAGTATTAATAACGAACAATGCATTCATTTGTATAATTCAGATAAAACTCCAGGGGTGGAGTTTTCTGAGATCATGGTTCCCATGGGACGTTGAGGAGAGACTCATTGTCAACTGAGATTCCCAGTCCATTGAGCTAAGCATCACTTATGTATGATACAGATAATAAGTAAATAGTCTACCTATGAACGTGTCTTCCTTTTCAATTCCTCATTCTTTATCAGCTAGCTAAATAAAAATTCCAACCATATATGCATGATGAGAAATTATTACTCCTATATGCATGATGAGAAATTCTTATTCCGGTGAATACAAGAATTTCAAATATATAAAATACCTTATTTGATGTTTGGGCAAATGGGTAATGTGTAATGACTAAAAATTCCAAATTTTTGACCTATCAACTACCATATATTTTTCTTTCTTGAATCAATATTGACTCCTACTTTTAGCACTCAATGAATTATGGTCAGGTCAGCCCATAAGATATGTGCGAACACACCTCAAATGCTTATAAACTAAAAAGATAGAGCAATATAACAACAGAAAAGAAAAAAAAAAAATCAAATTTTTGTTTCTTTTTTAAACAAAAATTTGTTAGAAACACTAATAGCATTTTAATAAATTTAACAATTATCAAACATTATAATAATACATCAATAAGTGTATATAATACATCAATAAGTGTATATAAAAATAATAATAATCCGAAGTTCCAAACCAAGAGAGCCAACTAATGTGTCCCTGCTGTTTCTGTATTAGCCATAATACTCAAATACATATATAATTCAGAAAAAAAAAAAAAATCCAATTATCAGATTTACCAAACATAAACAAGTAATTTCCTGGTAGGATGCATTATGCTATTTTCACAGTAAAAAATACGAATACCAGGAAAAAGAAAAAGAAAAACTCTACCGAATGGAACATAATTAAATCAAGAAGAGAAGATGTCTTGTTGGAACCTGAGGAGTTCAATGGAAGAATGGAAAATGGAAGCAAATGAATCAAAGAAAGCTCCTGAAACTGAAGAATAGCTTTTCTCTACAGTGTAAAACTTGGCTTTTCTTAACATTTACTTGTTCTTAAAATTGCTTCAAGAGAAGTAGCAGCAGCTAACCGTAATTTGAGCGATAAAGCCATCGAAGAAATCCCAAAACAAAATCACTTTTTATTATGGGAGATTGGAATTGGAGTGGGTTTGTGAGTGAGACTTGCATTTGGTTGAAATGGGCTGAATCGAAGCCCAATGAAGAGTTCTGAACAAAAGATTGGAGGCCGAGCTAATTACTTTAAAGTTGTTAGGGAAAAAAACAATATAAAATGCGACACTTTATAATTAAAATAGATTATAGTTTTTTTTAAATAATTTTTAATTAATATATAAACAATATTTTTTTATTCCAGAAGAAATGGAGATTTTATAAGTGTAACAAGATCAAGCCATCTGTTCGATGATGTTATTATTACTGTATGTTTTTTTTTTCCTAAAATGGATGTTAATTCAGGTAATAATCAACAATTCTGAAATAAAATTACAAATCACTATTAATTTAACTTCATGGATTTAAATATCACTATTAATTTCCATTAAAATAGGTGAAATTTTAAATAAATTTCCCAAATTTTATTCAATTAAAACTTTAAGCCACTCATTTCTCAAAAAAAAAAAAAAAAAAAAAAAAAGCCGATTCCCTTCATCTTCTTCTTTATTTTCTCATCCGTTCTTCTATTCTTTTAAAAAAAAAAAAAAAAAAAAAAAAGCCATTCCCTTCATCTTCTTCTTTATTTTCTCATCCGTTCTTCTATTCTTTTTACTTTTCCTTATTTCTCTATTTTTCTTTACAAAGACATTTAGATAATTACATATTGAATTAAATTATAAATTTATTTATATTTTTATAAGCCAACTAGCCAAGTTGAAACCCAACTTTGTACACAGTAAAAGTGGAGTATTTGTAATTGGTACAAAAGCAGGGTGCTCGGTCGGGGTCCGCGCGAATTGGAAAGAACCTTACCTGACCTTGTTTCGCGTCCCCATTGCAGCCGGAGCCACCCTGTTTCCTTCCAGCCGCACATTTGCCACTGTACTAGCTTGGGCGGACATTACCAGGTCGTAATTATTCCATTAAATTATTTTTTTTAGAAAACAGGTGTCATGTTATTTGTAAAGTTCATTGCATTTGGCAAGGCCCAATATACATCATGTGTTTATTTTTAAGCTTCACTTTCCTGCGGTCAAAGCTATTCTAAACTTCTGCACCTGTCCCTGGACTTTTACTATGTGTCTCTTGCTATCCATAGTTACTATTTTATCCTTATATTTTGTAATAATTAATTACTTTATTTAATCTCTTTAAAAAAAAAAAAGATTTTATCCAGAGTATCCAATTGCATTCGATTATGTTATTATTCCATCATTTTTTTTACTATCAATTAAACAATTTAGATATATTGGTCTTCTCACTTGTGTAAGGAGTGCGAAATATTGAGTTCGAGTTATTTTGACCATCAGTTGTTTTCATCAATTTATTGAGCTAAAGGGAGGGTTATCCTCTATTGTGTAGCCGACAGTGCTATTTTCGCTCTTAAAGCCTTTAATGAATTAAAAAAAAAGTTTAGATATAATTACTATTTTGTCTTTATATTTTGTTAAAATTAACTATTTTATTTTTGTAATTTTTTAGGGACAATATGTTCTATTTTTAAAATGAGAATGAGAAAATAGCTAATATTAATAAAATATAAAGATAAAATAATAATTATTTGTAAAATTTTTAACGGAAAAGTATAGAAATAAATGAAATGGTAAAATAGTTTGATGGAGTTAAACATTAAAAATAAAATCATATATTGTTTTTAAAAAAAGAAATAAGAATGAAATAGTTAGTTATGATAAAATATAAAAATAAAATGATAATTGTCCCATTGTTTTTTAACACAAAGTTTGCTTGATTTTGATTTAATTGATGGTTTCATATAATTTAAAAATAAAAAATTACTGAATATTTTAATTTTAATATTGGATGATATAATTAGAACTACTTTAATTACTCAAAACTTTGTATTAAAATAATTGCAAGTTATATGAAAAATATGCAAGCACTGAAATATGAATACATAGGAAAAAAAAGAAGAGAGATATTTTAGTTAATTTTCGCATAAGTTAAAAATAAAGAGAAAATGTACTTAAAGAGTTAAAATCACAAAATATCATTTTCTGCATACCGAAAAATAGTCAATATTGCATAAATAATTATCAAGTTAAGTAAATTTTATTTTTAAAAGGTAATTTTTTGAAATTATAAAAAAAAAGGGGATAAACTTTAAACATTTTTAGATAAAAATTCTTAAAAGGAATAGACTATAAGGATTTATAAGATCTAATACTTTTTTTTTTTTTTTAAGAAAACACAAAAGAAATAAAGATATTACACATTGTTATCAAAACTATAGCAATTTAATGATTTTATTACTACATATAAAGATTATTGCTTTATCAACAAGGTATTTATTGGGATGGTAAGAGATTTTAACTCTCATAAAAGTAAGAACACAAGTTAATTGAGGTGAGGTGGTAAGCAATTTCGATCCCCATAAAGGAGAAGGCAATTTCCCTTCTTAAAAACTGCACTTTACTTAGCGCTCTATGGTTCGAGAGGATTAAACCTCGTGCTTATATATATATAAAAAAAAAGCTTATTACTTTGTCAATATTAAGAATACAATCAAATGATAATGTAGTAAAAAAAAAAAAAAACATTATATTAACATTCAGAAAAAGAAAGATTATATTAGGCTCCTCCTGTTATTGAAAAATAACTTGAAATTTTCAGATTTTCTGATGTTTGGGTGCCTATTAAATTAGTAGTGAAACAAAAAATTTTGATCAAAGGAAAAATCTAAATTACTTTAAAGAAAAGTTATTTTTCCTTCTAAAAAAGAAAAACATTTTGTAAATATTGATGAATTTATTTATAAGGTTATATTAATTTATTAATCGTTATGTAGTTATTAGTTATTATTGACAATCACCATCGATCACGTTAAAAACCGCCCATTGCCAACTACCACCCACCACCATCAACTGTTAGCCACCATATAATATTTATTTTATAAGTTTCCTCATATTTATTAATAAATTTTAAAATATGAAATTTTCTATAATTTTAACTTTCAATTGTTTGAAATTAAAATTTTAATATTTTTAGCTAACTTTCAATATTTGCAATCAAAACAATAAAAAATAGTTATTTATTGGAAAATTGTAAGTTATGTTTTCTAAAGCTAAGTTATTGTATAGATACGGAGCCTAAAGAATAAGAATAATAATTATTATTTTTTTAACTTGATCCGTTATTGAACTCCACTCTAATATGCCTTTCAAAAAAAAAAAAAAAAAACAAAAAATCCACTCTAATTTGCACCAGATAAATCTGTTAACTTGGATTATTGTAACTTGATCCGTTGTTGGACGCCTGTGAAGCTGCACTAACAACTTCAAAGTCCACCCGCACTGAATCCCAATCGTTTCCTATTTAAACGTCGACAAACGTGATAGTTGCTTGAGATATTTTCTTCTCTCTCTACAAAACACGAGCATCATTTTTATAAGGCAACAAGGCGTTCTTTCGTTCTTTTGCACTTCCTCTCCTTTCCTTTTGTTAGTTATGAGGAGAATCAGATCTCTCTCTCCAATGATCACCTTCTTCTCCTCATCTTTTTCACCTTCTTCCTCGATTGATCACTGTAAGTTCTGTTGCTTCTTTTAACTTTTTTATTTAAACTTCCATGGCTTTTATAGCTGCTGATGTATATACATATATCTTTTTGTACTGTACTTGCATCTTATTCATTTCGGCTCTCTTTCTTTAGTGCATTTGCAGGTTTGCTTGGTTGATGTCAAGAAGAATTAATAAGCAACGAAGATTTGTTTGCACCTTCAGGTAAAGATAACGGAAAAGAATATGTATGTTTACATATCCTCGTTATTCTGGATTGTTAGGATTTTGGTTTTGATGACTGTATGTTGTTTTTTCGAATTTATATTTTGGATGTCTTGTTTTGGGACGGTACACGATTTCTACATATACCTGCAGTTTTAACTGAACTGTGGAGCAAATGAACTTAAGCGTTTCTGTAAAAATTGTTTATGTTTGTACTGCTGGGTTACCAAAATTAAGCATATTGGCGAATAAGCCTCTAGTTTGATTTACTTTCTAGCTAATTCCCTGTAATTATCCTTCTTTGGTTGGTCCATATCATATTTGTGGATCACAATACACTGTGAAGTACATGATATTTTTGGATATTGCTTTATGGTTAGGTTGTAGGTGTGGTAAGAGTTTCATAAGCCCTTTCCCTTAAAAGAAAGGGTTCCTGTTTCAGTGGGGTAAAAGAAGGGGGCTGGGGCTGGGGTTGGGGTTGGGAAGAAGAGAAAAAACCATGTAACACTGATTATGTAAATGCTGTAAGTCATTCGTCCCCATTAATGTTTTCATAATTTGTGTGCGCTCACAATACTACATTCAAGATTTTTTTTTTTTGGCAAGCTGTGAGATAGAATTCAAAAATTGCTGATTAGTTTTCTCATTTCATAATTATTATGATGAAAATTTGTTTTAGAATCATCACAGTTCTTTACCAAACTATGCATGGATGAAGTATCAATTACATATGTTGATATACAAGGAATGGGGTTGGGAGGAAGAAAGCTTTTGGTAGCAAGTCCATAGATGTTAAAGAATGATGGTGATGGAAAATTTTGATTGCCATTTGATTTTTGTGAGGTTTGATGCTTTTCTCGTTATATTATATTTGTTTTCCTTTGTTATGCCTTAATGGTGCTAAAAATTCACATCATTGATAGGAATAATAAACGCGATTAGTAATATTATTATGCACATGTTGGTGTTTTTTATTTTTTATTTTTTATTTTTTTGTTGGGCAATGTTAGAGAGGTAAGAATCCTAGGAGTATTCAGATTTTGAATCATCTAGTTGATTGGTTTAGAATTGGAACTTATGCAATCAGGTTTAGTTGCTTGAATAAATGGTTTGATTATCATTTTGAATTTTTTGTTTATACCCATCTACATCTAGGTCCTTCATATACAAGTCATAATTTCTTGTATAATACCATAATAAATAGGTAATAAACACCTCATCATGTATCCTACTCAGTGGTAACCTGTCCTTTGAAAGTAATAGCAACATGATTTATAAACTTGGAGATTTTCAAATTGTATGACTGCATGCCTTTATTTTTCTATTTTTTATGAAGATTTATCAATATAGAGTAGTTTAACGGCGGAAGTTGTGTCAAGCATGCATGCCTTTTTATAAATCTCTATTCCTTCAAAAGCAACAACTAAGCCTTAATCCCAAATAATTGAGATCCGTTATATGAATCCTTTAACCACTTGAGTCCATAATACCAACACTAAGGCATTATATCTATACACACAATAGAAAATAAATAAATAAGCATCGGCAGACGGTAGCAAAAGAGCCTTATTCCTAGATTAATTGTTATTTACTTTATGGATCTTTTGTCTCTAGTTTGTTCTTTTCATAGCTAGGTATTCATTAGTCCTAGGGTACCGTATCTCTTTAACTATCAATGCGTTCCAGGTGGGGCTGTAAACGAGACAAGCCGCTTGTGAACTACTTGAGGCTCGACTTGGTAAAAGATCGCTCGAGCCGAGCTATTGAGCTTATTTAATAAATTAGCCGAGCTCGAAAGCTTTCGAGTTGGCTCGCGAGCCAGCTTTATCAAGCTGAGCTCCTGAGCTAGCTTTATCGAGTCGAGTTGAGTTCACGAGCTAGCTCAATAAGCCAAAAGCAACTGAGCCTACTTTTAAATGTCATTTTGATTTGATAGCTTTCGAGCCTGAGTTTGAGCTTAGTTGGTTTATGGTTATCGAGCAGAGCCCGAGATAGGCTCAAGCTTAACTATTTTAAACGAGCTGAGCTCGAGCTCACTAGAGTTGACTCAACTTTGACTCGTTTTCAACCCTAGCTCGATGTGGTTTTAGATCTATCTTTTTTATTTTTTTTTTCTCATTTAGCATCCTCTACCACCAAAGTATCATACTTATGCACTGGGACACATGGGGTTCTATGAATCACATGGCCAAACTATCATAGACGCCCTTTCCTCATTTCTTCTCCAACTCTGCTACTTGTACCTTTTATGGGATGTGGCCAATCTTAATTTGTCCAACCTTGTATGATCACACATCTATTTTAACATCTGTATCTTTGCTGCAATCATTTTATGGACATGTTGCGTAATCGGTGCCCAACATTCACTCCTATGTAACATTGCAGGCCTGATTGTTGTCCTTCAGAAATTAGCTTTCACCTTTTTTGGTATCTTCCTATCATATAGCACATACATGGCACTCCTCTATTTTATCCATCTTGCTTGAATTCTATGGGTTACATCATCAATCAAACCCTCTTTCTAGAGAACGGAGCCTAGATACCTGAATTGATTGCACCTGGATATTACTTTATCGTTCAATGAAATCCCTTGTCCTTGTTTCTTTGTTATTTCAGACTGATAGGGCATGTACTCCATTTTACTCCTGCTTAGCCCAAAACTCTTACTCTCGATAGTACTTCTCCATAATTCCAACTTTTTGTTTAATCCTTCACTTGTTTCATCAATTAGGACAATACTATTTGCAAATAACATGCACCAATGAACATCATCTTGTATGGTCCTGGTTAACTCGTCATCTTGTATCCCCTTCAACTTTTCTCACACTTTTCGCTGTGTCTTTATACATATCCTAGATGACATCAAAATAATTGACATGAACCCCCTTTTTTCCTCCAAATCCACCAAAGTACTTTTCTTGACACTCTGCCATAGGTCTTTTCCAAGTCAATGAACACCATTTGTAGATCCTTCATCTTTTCCCTATAAATTTTCATTAATGTTTTGAGTAGGAATATAGCCTTCATTGTGAATCTCCTTGGCGTAACTGGTTCTTTGACACCTTTGTAAAATCTTTGAATCTATGTTCTTTTATTCGTTCAGAAAGCTTCATTTTGTGACTTGCAAGTTTAATACCTCGGTATTTTGTACAACTTTTAGATATTTTATTGTTCTTAATTATTGTTATCAGTTTGCTCTTTCTCCATTCATTTGGCATCTGTATATTACATAGGATAACATTAAATAACTTGGTTAACTAAGTAACTCTCACTTCATCAAGACTTTTCCAAACCTCTATAGAGATACCATATGGGTCACATGCTTTTCTTTCCTCCATATGTTTTAAGGCTTCCTTGACTTCATTTGTCCTAATTCTGCGAGTGTAGCTCAGGTGTCTATCCATCGAAGGTCCACTGAATCGTCCTTATGGTTTTTGTTAAACAATTGATAAAAATAACATCTCCATCTATCTTTGATATCCTTATCTCCTGTTAATACTTGTTAAGAATCATCTTTAATGCTCTTAACTTGACCTAGATTTCTACTCTCTTAGCATACAACTCAACACTTCCCCTAAAGTTGGTGCATAGATGTTACACATGCCCGACTTTCAAGTTATGAAAGTGTTTGCTATTGAGCCCTTTGTAAATGCATTAGTAATTTGATTACCCTCATTCACATGAGAGTTTTAAAACGCCCTGAATAACTTTCTCCTTATGAAATGTCAACCAATCTTTATATGCTTTGTCCAATCATGTTGAGTTGGATTTTAAGCAATAATAATAGTTGCCTTGTCACAAAAACAAGGATAAGTCTTTCGTTCTTGACACTTGCAACTTGTCCATTACCTTCCTTATCCACAATAATTGCAAACACCTTGAGTATTTAGCTTCCACTCTTGTACAGGCTACCATATTGTGTTTTTTACTTCTCCAAGTAACTAGTATCCACCAACGAAGTGCAATAACCAAATTTGACTTCCTATTGTTGGGAGATCCAACCCAATCATCATATGTAATGACTTCTCTTGAGGTGGCCATGCTTAGAGAAAAGTAATTGTTTGTTAGGTGCAAGCTTTAGATATTTTAAGATGTGAACAACTTCTAGATGAGAACAATGAGGATCATGTATATATTTCCTAACTAGATGGCAATATAGGCTATATCTGGTCTATTGTATGAGAGAGAAATCAATCTTCCCACCTCTGCTTGCAATTTGTGGTTAGCCTCAATAGGAGAATTTGCTGGTTTACAGTCCAATATAGCAGTCTCTTCTAAGAGATCAAGGGCACACTTTCATTGAGAGATGAAGATCCCTGTATCAAATCCAGCAACTTCTATGTTGAAAAAGTATCTCAAACCCCTTAAATCCTAATCCCAAACTCCAAGACAATTGTTTCTTTAAAGAGAGCAATTTCCTCTTCATCATTTTTAATACAACCATATCATCAACATAGACAATTAGTAATATGATCTTACCACTATAAAATGTAACAAACGAGATATGATCAACATTACTTTGAGAATATCTAAAGATGCTGGTACAAGTTTTAATTTGGAGAGCAGTGGGAATATTGACATTATCAACTATTAGATCAAAACTAAAACTGGAATCGTAATTAGAATTAGTAGGAGTTACCAAAAGCTTACTGAATGAATTTTCAAGAATTGATTGCATAGATGATGTTTGACCTGGTATGTCGTGCTTTGGCATTATCAATCTTCTCCCTTCAATTGTACCTTTTTAAATATGGCCTGTCCAATCTACTTGTCTTAAGTCCTTGTTCATAAGTTTCCTGTTCATTACTAGTATTAAGATTTAAAAAATGTCTAGGAACAGGTACTGATATAGGAGCTAGCTATTCCATTCTATTCTCTTTGAACAGGGGCTTGAGAAGAGCGGAATTAAGGCTTAGATTCTCTAGAAGTCACATCCATGTTCTTAAAGTATTTTGGGGAAGGGGGGTTGATTAACCAACAAACACACATTTAAGCTCTTGAGTCTAATTTTCCTCCATGCTTGTGATGGAGAAAACACGCTCAACCAAATATTTTTAGAGAAATAGTATGCGAATTTTTAAATAGTATACGAATTTTTACCATGTAGCACTTCTAAAGGACTTCTAAAGTTAAGAGTCTGAAAAGGGCATTCTATTAATGAGATATGTTGCGAAAAGCAAAATAGCTCCCCAATAAGTCTTGGCGGTGTTCATGGCAAACAAAAGAGATCTGCAACCTTTAGTAAATACCTTTGTTTTTCTTCTTTTGGATTTTCCGTTTTGAGCACTAGTATTAACACAGTTAGTTGATGTATTATTCCATTTGAATCTAAATATGCTTAAAATACTCTATCCATGTACTTTGCTCCATTGCCAGTTCGCAAGGTCGTAACTTTAGCATCAAATTTTATAACTCTTATTATTATTAGAAGTATAAGAATGTTTAGTGTTTTTGACAAATTCACAAGCATCACAAAATAAAGAATCTTACTTGTATTGAATATATGCTAGGATAGAATTTCCTAAAAACAAAAAGGGGTGAATTTCCTAATCTCCTATGACACTGAATTATTTCTTGGTGAATATGACTATATTCTCCTAACAGATCTCGATTATAATAGGGGCTAGAGAACCTTTTTCAAGAAGATATAAGACATGGTCGAATCTACCAAAGTCAATCAATTTCCCTATTTTCAATTCCTTCAAAACACAATGAGTAGGAAAAAATATGACTATATTCTCCTAACAGATCTCGATTATAATAGGGGCTAGAGAACCTTTTTCAAGAAGATATAAGACATGGTCGAATCTACCAAAGTCAATCAATTTCCCTATTTTCAATTCCTTCAAAACACAATGAGTAGGAAAAAACTCAACTTTATAATTAAGGGCTTTTGTAATAGTTCTAACAAATAAAAGGATTGACAAGAAAACTGGGAATATGAAGAACATATGCAAATTAATAGTGGATATGCACTTAATAGAATCTGTGTCGGAAATAAGAGCTAAAGAGCCATTGGTTATACGGATTGTATCATTGCCATAACGGGGTAATTTGATGCAAGGTCGTAACTTTAGCATCAAATTTTATAACTCTCATTATTATTAGAAGTGTAAGAATGTTTAGTGTTTTTGACAAATTCACAAGCATCACAAAATAAAGAATCTTACTTGCATTGATAATATAGACGAGGATATAATTTCCTAAAAACAAAAAGGGGTGAATTAATTTCCTAAAAACAAAAAGGGGTGAATTTCCTAATCTCCTATGACACTGAATTATTTCTTGGTGAATATGACTATATTCTCCTAACAGATCTCGATTATAATAGGGGCTAGAGAACCTTTTTCAAGAAGATATAAGACATGGTCGAATCTACCAAAGTCAATCAATTTCCCTATTTTCAATTCCTTCAAAACACAATGAGTAGGAAAAACTCAACTTTATAATTAAGGGCTTTTGTAATAGTTCTAACAAATAAAAGGATTGACAAGAAAACTGGGAATATGAAGAGCATATGACAAATTAATAGTGGATATGCACTTAATAGAATCTGTGTCGGAAATAAGAGCTAAAGAGCCATCGGTTATACGGATTGTATCATTGCCATAACGGGGTAAATAAAGTTAAAAATTTATTTGGGAGAGCCCATCATATGTCTGTTTGCTCTTGAATCTATAGCCATGAATTATGATGAGAAACAAAATTTGCAAGACAAGTCATACATGAGTGCACCAAATTAGAGGAAGCACCTATGGTGGATGGAGAATCAAGCTCTGACGGAAGACATCTAAGGTTTGTACTTCATTAGATAGACTCCTAGTAGTTGGTGCTTTAGGGACTTCTACTAATTCCACTTGATGCGCAAGAGGTCTTGCTAAATTCGTCCTTTTACCTCCATGACCTCTAGTTAATTGGTCTGCTATGCAATATCCAACGTTGCTTTGTGTTGACTTGTGTATAGACTAATTAGGAGAACTTATTCTTGCCTTATTCACTTTTCCTATTTAGAATTAGATTTGTTTTCCTATTTAGAATTGTATACTTGTATATAAATAGGGTGTATTGATGTCATTGAATATATAGAAATAGAGAAACAATTCTTCTTGATAATCTCTAAAATTCCAAGTCTTTGATACCATGTTGTGAACAAAGATATAAGATTTTATTTTCTTTCTTATACACATATCTATATCTATTTCTATCTACCTAATTTAAATGCTTCGATACTCAAGAAGCATACAGGTCAATTATAACAATGCAAGTCAAATAGCACATAATCCAGCAATTATATAATGATTTTCCGATAGAAACATTAACTTTTTTGTCTTCTGAGTTATTTTGCACTAATTTTGCACACCTACCATTACTAGTTTCCAATGTTTTCTGAAGGTATTTATTTTCAATTGTAAACAGTGGCTGAAATATTGGCTATGGCAGATTGGAAAATGAATGCACTATTAATAATGAAATTTATAGTTTGAATAATTGATAATATGACAAATACTTGTGTATTTAATATTTGGATCATTAGTTTCTAGGCAGATGTCAATACTGGTTGCAAGTAATGATTTGAAATGGTTTATTTGTTTATAATAACAAAGTATACTTTAACGTTAATCTTAAGAAAGTTTGTTGATAAAATTCGTGAAATTTTGCACGCATTTTTACTCTTTTAATTCAAACCAATATTTTCAATTATTTCAATTATTTTATTATTTATAATGATTTTATTTATTTTCACTTAAATTGACAAAAAAAAAAAAAAATTTATTATCCTGTAAAAAAAAAAAAAAATATTTGTAATGGCTTTACATTTTCTAAAGTCAGAATCATGCGGTTTACCATAACAGCTAATTATACTGTTGAAAGTCCAAATTGTTTAAAGCAACTGTCTCTCTTTTTATTGAAATTAATATTTGGTTTTTTAAGTAAAGCGAATCAGATTTCATGTTTGTTGCATTTTAATAGGTTCAACGTGTAGTTTGATTTATCTTTGTTCTTGAATCTGAATGACACTAATGATTGTCTTGCAATTATTTCTAATTTTTCTTGCTGCCTTGGAAACAGTATTAATTTGCCCATTTCTCACTTTGTCAGTTGTGGTAATATGTGCAATAATTTGGAATTTCAATTGCAATCTGGAGAATTTGTTATTTGTTGAATATAACTATATCGATAAACATTTCCAGAAGTAGATTAAAAGCATTGGTTGAGACTTGGATGACTATCTTCTTTTGGGCATAACTTCCTAATTTGCTCTGCCTTCAAATGATCAAGGATACTATTATAAGCTGAGGAATACATGAAAGTTATTTGTTTGTTTCCTGTCTCAGAATCATATTATAGGGTAAATTAAGTTTAACCAACAGTTCTTGCTTGCGCAATAGCTAAACATTCAACTAGTTTTGATATGATGTCTTTTGCTTGCTGTTCATATGGACTTCCTAACAGCACAATCTGAATGCTTTGGGGTGTGCCAAAGCTTCATCCACACTGCACAGCAACTGCCGATTCATGTCTGCATAAAATACACAAGTTGCATTCATCACTAGACCTGGCTATAGAAAATTAGGCATGACAGTGAGAGAAATACTCTGCAATTGTGGTTTATCACAGTCTTCTTTCACCTTCTTGATTTTCTATTGTTTAGTCGCTCATTTTTACCATGCTGCAGCACTACTGCATGAGCTATGACAAATATTTGCTGTTTCCTCGCTGTGCTTTCAGTTTTTTGTAGTCGACTCTATGTCAAAAATGGATCATCCTTGTAATATCTAAACTAATTTCTTTAGTTTGGTTTTGATGGAGTGCATAGACAATGGAAATTCATAACTATATTGAATGCTTTTGTTTGTTTGTTTTGCAGAAAAGCCAAGAGATTCTATTATGTATGCTCTCTATTGCACTAGGTATTACTTTGTCCAGATGACAAATGTGCTGGGCTTTGTTGTGTTCTACCGTGTTGACAAATTATGTTTTATGTTTACGGCATCATAATCAAGCATGCCCGCTTCAGTAACTAAAACTTTCTACTGGTTGAATGGGATAAACGGGAAAAGCAGGTATTTATTTTGGTTCTGCAGTACTTATGCGTTTTTGTTACTTATATATGTTCTACTTGTTTTTTCTCTTTATCCTTTTATGAACTTTTCATTCGTTAAATGAAACTATTTATGCTACTAAAACGATACTGATAAATAAATTGAGCAGAAATTTAAAATGCTGATAGGTACGTTAGAAGTAGCACAATTCAAACAAGCAGTTACATTTCTTAATTCCATTGAGCGCAACAAATTTTTGCGTCATCTAGAGTAACACCTGGCTCATACCAAGCTTTCCCATTATTGCATAATTTTGGTTCATAGGAGTTCTAGCCAACAATTTCTAAAGTATACTTTACAGAATGTATCATACTGAATCTGGTTATCCTGCTGCTGGAAGATACTTCTAATTGCTGATGTACGAGATCTCATAGTGTAGAGAGGTGTTTTGTCAACAATCGAGCAATTCACTCAGATGATGATCAGTATCTGTTCATTTGTCAACTGCTTTGCTATTGCAATTGTAATCTGTTGAAATTTTGGATGGAATGTACTCAGTTGCTGGAATATATAGTTTACTAACAGTATAAAGAGAACTTACCCAAATTTCATTTGTTTTGGTGATGCCTTATTGGTTTGAGGCTGTGGCTGGCTCAGCTGGAGATGGATTGGGGCGTGTAAGTCATATCCATTGCTTATAGTGTATGGTGGGTGGGAACTTTTGTTCGCTTCTCTTGCATCCCTTTCTGCACAAAACTGGGATTGAAAACTTCTGTTTCAGCCACTAGCAGACAGCAAGCATTCACTTTATCAAATATCACAAATAGCTATGGGGTTTCAGTAGGCCTTAGGTTTAAGGCTGGGTGGTGAATTCACTAGGTCGGCATTGTTTATAGATAGGTGTAATTAGGTTATCAAATGTTCAAAACATTGAGTTCAGAGTTGAACAGTAGATGAATAAGATTTTTGTTAAAGCATTTGCTACCTATATAAATACCTTTTTACGTAATTCTGCATTTTCTTGACAGATGAGCTCTAGTTTCTTATGCAGTTTCAGGTTTTCTTGATAAGTGAGATTTCCCTGTGATGAAGTTGGTGAAAGAATGTCAAAATTTTAAATTTGATGGCAAGAAACTAGAAAAAAAGTTGAAGTCATTATCTTAGAAAAACCTTTTGGTTGAGTTCCTTGATTTCATCAGTTAAAATTTGGTCCTGCAGAAGGAAAAACAGCTTCATTAGCAAATATGCATTTGATATACTTGCACATGAAGGACATACGTTGAATGTAATAGGATAATTGGATAAGTATAAAAAGTCTTTATCAGGCTTCCATACCTTTTTCATCCGAATTCCTTTAAGACTCATCTCCAATTGGTTTTCTAAATTTTGTAGATCTTTAACATTTAGGCCAGAAAGTTCCTCCCCCATCAATTGCCTGTATATGTCATTAATGCATGAGTCATTTGTCTACCACAATTTTTATTTCCGTAAATATTTTATCGAAAAGATCATATTTTCTGGTAAAGTTTATGCTATTATTTTCATTATGTCTAATCTTGTTTTGTTGAGGGTGTTTTGATATAATCTTGAATACTTGGCACAGGTATGTTTAGAATATGGCCCAGGTTATAGTTGATTTTTTGCAAAATCCATTTAGAAAGCTAGTTTTAGCTTTATTGAGCCTTTTGTTATCATGTTAAGTGCTTTATAAGGCTAGTGTCCTGGTAGTATTATAGATATTAACTGCCAAGGCCTTGGAGGCAAAATGGATTATGATTATTGAGATGCATATGATTTTTAAAAAGCTTATGTAAGCCATGTAAAGTATCCTATATTATAGTTTTGGGTGAGGTTTTTAGTTGAGAGTGTAGTGTTCTAGGTACATATGGAGTGTGTTTACCACATTATGTCCACTAGGAAACCTTTGAAGGCTGCATGATGTGTGACACATAAGCTATTAGTTGGCATACAATTTGCTTTATTTTCATAATTTAGAAATTTAGGCATGAAATGGATTGGTTTACACAAATTTATATGGTTCAAGTGAAAGTAGCTGTCGATAATTGTGACCAAGTAATGCTTGTTAAGTGAGCACAAATATAATGTCAACATGGCCTTGTTCCTCCAGCAACCATCTAGATTAGGAAACTTGAAAGGTTTCCTCAAATTGCAGTGAACAGATTGCAACTTGTTTTGGAGTGAGAAAGGATTAAATTCTCTTCAATACAACAATTAATGCACATTCACACTTGTTAACTTTTAGTGTACCTGTACATAAGGAAACTTGGGAAACATGTACCTGTGATGTTTATTGAAGAAATCTAGCATTCCAAGCTTAAGGAAATTTTGGTTTTTGTTGCAAGGCTTTTTATTTGCTGCTTTAACTAATGGACGCATTCAATAGTTTGGTGTTTCAAACTTTTAGCAGTTACTTGTAGAGAATTCCAACTAAATATGCATATTTCATACAATTTACTCTTAACTAGATACATGTAATTGAAGTTTCAATTTACTTTAGTTACTGTTTAAGTTTTATCAATGTTGCTGGTTGTACTTGAATGCCCTTTTCTATTTTATTTCTTTGGAACTTTGGCTGTGATACTAGTTGAGGAATGCACATGCAAGAAACCTACTAGTTATTGAATTGCATTGTACAATAATTGAATTTGCTTTTGATCTTTGTAATTCAAATCATTTTAATTTAGTTAACTTTAGTTTGTTAATTTAATCATATTAATGAATGACTTAAATGTATATTGATGAAAATATTATAACTAAAGGATTGAGTTTTTAGTCATTTGATGGTAATTTATTTATATTCTTTACTTAAATTATCAGAAAATTATGAAATTTTTAGTGCAATAATAAATGCCACTTTTGTAGAGTTATATGAAAAATAATAAGAACAAAAAAGCTTAAAAAAAATATAGTTATCAATATTCATGAAGTCAAAGATAAAATATCATCATAAATGGCAAAAAAAATTTTATGGAATATTTAAAAAAATATTGAGAACAAAAGTTTTATTCCTTTTGGTATTATCACAATGTAATCTAGGTTAAACTATGTTGAATGGTTTTATTACTTATTACTTTGTTTACTTTATGTAGCTTTTGGACAATTTTATTATAATTTACTATTGATCTCCATATGCGTAAGAATAAAACTCACAATTAACAAATTTCTTTCAGATCTTTCTCAAAAAAAGAAAAAGAAAAAAAATCTGTTCAGGTCATGTTCTAACATCCAACTTAAGGGCATTTTTTTTACACAAAAGCTAAAATATGATTAACAACAATTAAGCTCTTATGTAAATATATCTTTAGGTCTTAATTGATCAAATAATTTGTTTATTTAGAAGTTACTATCTAAAAGTCGTTCCTCTTGGAAAATTATTCATTTGCAAGTTGCATTTTTAGCATATGGTTTGCATAATCTAAGCATGTCAATTCCTTAATTGGTCATGTTTGGTCACTAACTTGCACTAGCTGAAGGAAGTTTATTTTATTATCTCTTTCAACAGGTTCTACTTGACAATTAATTAGGTTAAGTGGTTACAGGGAATCATAACTTTCCTTTAAAATGTTTGTAGTTGTAAAAACAAACAAAGGCATTAGACTTGCTTTCTGGGGAGTCTAAACTTTTAATATTAGTTAGTTTGAATTTTAAACAATCTTATTATGTGTTGATTGACTAATAGTCAATCTTGAGTATGGTAAAGGAGGTTTTACTCATAAGGGAATTTTCTATAAAAACACTATTTTGATGTTGTTGAAAAGAGCAATTTAAGGGTGTTGTTTATCTATTTCCGAGCTTCTATGACAAAACATGCGGAATTCTCCTAGAAAACAAACTTAATGACGTCTAATGAACATTTTCAACATGATATTTGTTCAACTACAATAATACTAATAGGCACTAAAGTTAATCATATAGATAAGGGGATTTTTGAATTTTTGTTATATATGATGATGTGCTTTAGTTTAAGAATATATTCTTGGTGAGGAAAAGCCAATAAAGGGGATTCTTGGATTTTTCATGTTTAGGATAAAACTTTATAGGGTTGGTTAAAGTACAAATTTTAATGATCTTACATCGACATGCTAAATCCCCAAGTAATGGACATGATAATGATTAGCTTTTAATTTATGAAGTCTTGCACCATTATTTTTATTCAGGAATGAAGTGTAAGAATCCATAGATTACATATAGGATTTATAATTGAGTGATTGACTCTACCTATGAGATTCTTGTAAATATTGCAATTCCTTCCTCAAGCTTGCAGCCTCCCTTTGCCAAAACTAGCAAGAACAAAGCGGAAGATATTACATAAAAATAACAATTATATCTCTAAAGCTGATTAAAGAAATTGAAAACAATACGATTGCCATAAAATTTGGGCATTGATGCAACAACAAGTCAATACTTGGAATGATCATAAGATAAGTTTGTGTTTGACTGCATTTTTGTATATATTTCTACCCTCATCATTGGATGAATACGTTAAGAGTTTAAAATATTGAGTGTTAAGTATGTGTTCCATTGATCAAGAATTGAAATTCACAGTGAAATGGCATTGCATCGTGTTTAACATTTGTGGCTAGCATTCATTGTGACTTAAATTATATAACAATTTAATGTCTTGGATAAAAGCTAGCAAGATCGGAAGATAAAAAAGATAAGACGCTTATGCTTCATAATTTTTGTTTTCCTCGTACAAGTTTGGAGGTGCCTTATCCTAATCCACTTTTCTTCTCATCACAGAATAGACTTAAGGTCACACGTTTGTTTGGGGGTAAGTAAAGTAGGGAACTAGAAGTTCATAGGAAGCAAGAATTCACTGCTTGTTTGGTTCCCAAAAGAGGAGAAATCTTAGGAAGTTTGAGAATCTAACTTCCTTGACCATATAGGAAGTTAATTCCTCCCCTCACCTCAATTAGGTGCACTTCCTGAGCTCAAGAAGTTTGTCATTCTCTATTTTGGCGATGCTTTTTTGTGCTACCAGTACTTAATCTGTTTGTTCCTCTCCAAAGCCTCTCTTTAAAAAGCAAATTATAGGAATTTCGACAATTTATTTCCTTAGCAAACTTCAAGTGAGCTTCTCTCTCATTCATGATTGCTTCAATTTCTTTATTGATCATTGATTCTTGATTTTATCCCTTCTTTGTGCCAACAAATTAAAAAAATCCATGGGTTATAAGATGAAATAAGTCATTTGATGCCTGATGAAATTTTGATTCAAGAATTGAGTACAGATATTCTTTCTAATTTTTGGTTCTTTTTTGTTTTTTTGTATATCCAAGAACAAAACTTTCTTATTATTTGATTTGGTTGTTGGCAAACTGAATGGAAAGAAGATGATAATGGAACATGGTTGTAGCTTTATGATACAGATTTCTTATTCTCTTCTAAAATAATGACCTAATGGATATCAATTGTATAATTTGCATTTGCATTTGGGTTGCTTTCATATAATTGACTCGGAATCTTAAAGATATTGATGGCATTCTCATCTTATCCTACTTGTGAAAACAAACTTGAATTTGCATAAGCATTTGCGTTCGTTGACTTTAAAGCATTTGTCATTCTATCGTCTTACCTAAAAAATGAGCATTTTCTATGGCTATTTGTATATGGTGCTGCATTTTATTTTGGATATCCTCATTTAACATACACACCACTAATCTCACTATAGATAAAGCTAATTGGCTTTTTAGTGATGTTCTCAAATTTATTTGTCCTAAATTAGTTACCTAACACTTATTTTCATTGGCTTCATAAGCATATGACCTAAAATTATGATGATATATTGTTGATTATTATGTGAGTTTAGCATTGTGCATTGTATAAAATGTGCCTCATTGAATTGATTACAAATTATCAGACTTTCATTAGTGAAATATTTCAATTATTATACTCATGTACATAGTAATGGTATTTATGTCATTTCTAATGTCACTTTTTATTCACAATTTTACTTCTCAAGAGTTCAACATATCAACCAAATGTAATCAAACTATACTTCCTAGGAAGTAACTTTCTTGGTATTGTACTTCCTAGGAAGTTCTACTAGGAAATTGGTTAACCAAATGACGCATTAGAAGGATGCTCTACATTGGTCCACTTGCTAGTTCCATGGATTAATTTGTTAGGTAAATTGCATCACTGGAAATTGAATTATGCGCTTTATTCTATTCTAGTAAAAATGATTTAGTTTTCACAATTATTTAATGTAAAATTTTGTTCTAATTAGGTCTAATGACATTAATTCTACCAATTAATGTATCTGAGTGTAGATATAAGAATTCGAGATCATTTTTTCTAATTGATGGGACTCAGAAAACTATTTCACTCATTTTCTCTACCCTTAAACTAAAAATATTTATGGTAGTGGATGGGAGGTATATTAGTTATGTACATAATTCTTTGTGCTTTGTTTTATCTATTGTGCTTCAAGCTAATTTGCAGGATTCTTGTTATTTCCTTGTCTTTATGTAATTTGTTTTAATCCTTGCTAACTATCTAGCCTCATTGTTTCTTTTTGCCTTAAGCAGTGTTATTAATATTTGTATTTTTATCTATGCCGAACTAGAAGTCTAAGTTGGCGTTTTAGATACTGTTGGAGGTTTATTTGACTTTGTAGCGATTTTATTTAGATTTCATTATATGGTAAGGAAGAGTAATAACATACTATTGCAACAAGGTTTGTAAGTTGTTAAAGACAAGCTAAGTTGTTGAGGAGCTAGAATTAAGGTAGGTGTACGATTTTGACTATTGTTGATTCATCATCAACATACAATATAAATGAGATTTTAACACCAATGTTTGTGGAGATTTGGAAAAAAAAATCCATATGGCAATGCAAGTGAAGTTGAATGAATCCATGCTACGTCTAAAGTGGTAATTAGATTTGTTTGAAGTTGGAAGTTGCTAATTTAATTGTATACAAATATGCTACATGATGAGCAAAGTTCTAATTGATTGTGTAAGTTAATATTAACACTAATGAAGAGGATAGGTTCCTTTTACCTTTTACTTTTTGATTCTTATGATATTTTGAATTTTTTGCATGGTAAAGATAACATAAGTTTAGAACAAGTGGATGAGGTGATGCTAGTCATGGTGGAATTTTGAAGGTCGTTTTAAACGGAGATATTTGAATGTTAGGCTAGAATAAGAAGTCAAAGGATATGATTTTCAATGATATCAGTGTAGATAATTTAGCTATATGGAAAAAGGTTTCCTTGGTTAACGAACAAGGATGGAAAAGCAAAATGCTATTATAGATCCTAGCTAAGCTATAATAGGTAGAAGATGCCTCAGTGTAGGTATGGTGCTCCTCACATGTTATTTCTTGTTCTTAGGCAAATCATTCAAGTCTTTAAGTTGGCAGGGTCAATGCCGTAAAGACAACGAAGTTTAGTGCTAAACTTAGGACCATTAAGGAGGCCAATGTTGTCTTGCTTGGTTCACTTGAGCCTTTTTAATCTTTGATATTATTTAAATTCTACTCATAGGCATGGGGTCATCTTTATCTTTAAGGCTACACTTTATATATAATAAATCTATTTTGATGGTTATCTCGATATTATTGTCGGGTCATTGTGTTAGCATGTGTGAAATAGGTGGTAATTGATGATAATGTGATTATATGTAATGAATCAAAAATAGTATTTCTAGCTAAGCAATTCCTTACAATGTTGTGATACATGGACATCAGTATAGGCAGGTCGAGTGAGATTGGCTTAAAGAGGCGCATCTTTTCCAAATTGCATTTCGACGGAATTTTTTTTTGCTTCCTCCATAGTCACTATTTATGTAACTTTTACGAGCTCCCAAAAGGTTTGGAAATGATTCCTAATTCTTAAGAATATCATTCCTCGCAAAAAGGTGCATCCAACTCATCTCAAGGAGTGTTTTAATATATGAACTCATTATGGAATATTTACCTCAACCCAATGCATAAAGTTCAATAAGAACTTTGGAGGTGACATTGACATGTTTTTGTTGCTTGGGAGGCTTTTAGAAAAGCATTGTGATGAATGACAATTTTTAGGAGGGATGATTTTGCCAATAGTTGTTGCTTGAGTGAATAACTCATCTTGGTTAATCTAGTTAGGGTAGGTTATATGGATTCTTTTTCTCCATTTTAATTTGTTTAGGGGTATCTTTATAGGGTGGTTTAAGAGTTGCTGAATACTTTCTTAATTGCTTCACCCTATTTAATCTTGAGGCCTTCTTGACCTGTAATAAGCTTAACTTTTGAGTTTGTGCTGATCAATATATCCAAACCATCTTGGTTGAACCTCATAACTTCTCTCTTTCTACAAGTACATTGATTTCATGTCCGGTCTTTCCTTGCGTTTTCGTACCTCTATGTTAGCATCTTTATCTTTGGAACGTAATTTTTTGCACATTAACCTATTATATGGCCAGCCTAATTGCAAAATTAAGTTGGTCATTGGAAGGGAGTTTAAGAGTAGTGAAAATTAAGGTTATAAATGAGCCAAGCCGCTCTTGGGCTGCTTAAGGCTTGGCTTGGCTAGGAAAAAGATCGTTCAAGCTTATTCGATAAGTTTAACGAATGAAACTCAAGCCTACTTATTGAACTTGTTTAATAGAGCTTGAGCTTGAATTCAAGCATGTAAGGGCAATTTTTTTCGATCTTGAGCTCGAGCTCATACCTTTATTGAGCAGAGCTTTAGCTCAGTAGACTTGGTTTGGCTCATTTATTGTCCTAAATTTAACAGGGATGTTAATGAAGGTGAAGGAAATGAATGAAATGGAAAGCAAGGTTTCTTTCAAAATATTAAAAAAGTATACTGTTAACAGCTGTAAAAACTTAACACTAATTGATGTAAATATTATCATCCATTAACATTTCATTGCACGCTAAAATAAACTAGCAAACTAGAATAGGAGATTAACCTCAATTTAATTTGTACCTTTTAACCCATAGTGTAAGTTGCAATTACTTGGACCTTTTCAACATTTAAGTGTTAGTCAACCAAGTTGTCTATTAAAAGAGACTATATATGAAGTGATCTTGAGTAATTTGCCAATATCAAGTTTAGTCCAACTCTCTCTTCTTTTCTTTCTACTTGTCCATTCACTTTTTTTGTAAGGCTTCTCCTCTCCCTCTCCTTTTTCTTTCTCTTGCCCATTTTCTACCAGATTTTGTGTAAATTAGGAGCACTAACTTGGATTAGCATTCGTAAAAAATAGCTAATAACTTATAAATAATGACATGAGTTACTAGATTAACAAATATCTACATATAAAAAGCACATTTTTATTTTAAGGTACTTTAACTATAAATTGAAAGCAATTATATTTTTATTGAATACAGACAATCAAAACTCATTGGTAGCGCTTAATTCAAATTCTTGCAAATATGTGGATTCAGACACAATTCTCTGGTGAACGTGAAAAAGAAATCCTATCCACATTCTATACATGCAACATAGTTTTTGATGGGAAGTTTTTTATGCTATTGTGACTTTCATCAATGTTACAAACTGTGCTATTAAATTAAGAATTCCCCATACTATTTGAATACTGGAATTTTGATGCTTGAATTGGAGAACAGGACGTTTCAGTGCCTCAAGTATTCACATACTGACCTAATTGTATTGACTGATGGATTTGGACGTCTAAAATGATTGTTGAGTTAGATCCAAGAGCTGGTGTGCATTCTAGATGGTTGAAGGAAAATGGCACTGCAGGGTTGCAATGGGCTTGATGAAAGAGAACCTGCAGAGTGTTGTTAGAAATAATTATAAGTGAACTTAGGCACTCTGGCGAGAATTTTATGCATGAGTTAGCATACCACAAATTCACGATGAATTTTGAGTATCTGTAATTGTTTTTTTCTTTGGCTTCTTTGTCAAAGGACGCTATGATGACTGATGTGTGAATGTGAAACTTGGGAATTTTACAGATGTCATCCACTCAATTTTGTCAGCGGCATTAGTTTTCAGGGCAGCTTAGGAAACTTCTACTTTTGAGTAACCATAAGAGCTGGAAAGAGGTCTGTTTTAGGCATTGCTAAATAGGAAATGATGTTTAGTGTACCATAAGGTACCAGTCTGCCTAACATCCCTTTTTGTTTAAAATGGGTTTTGATAGTTCATGATCAGGTAAGGATGTCATATTGATATATTGATCATCTTTTGATATCTTCACTGGGGACATCAAAGAACGCAGAATCAATTCCTATGAGGTATAAATGACATAATTTTGGGCAATAATCTACATGTTTGGTACTACTTGTCAGAAAATCTATTGAGAAGGTTGTTTGTGTCATGGAAATCTGCATATAAAGAAACCTAATGCTTGTACATCATTCATCTTTGAAACATCTTCAATGGTTCTGCTATTCCAACTCCTACTATTATGAACCTTTGCAAGACATAGTGAACACTTAAAACGGACATGGCTATAGGATCCTCCAAATATAGGAAAACCGTGTGAAGGAAAATTACATGTTCTGTGCTGGAGATGGATATCTATCCAACACGTATGTTTATTGCAGAAAAAAATCAAGAGTTTGCAGAGGTCATGGCATCCATGTACTTTGGGCCTTTCATGATATTAGTTTATATGCGATCTATTTTATTTTGCAAGAAAATTGTTAGAGGTTTTGCTTTTTTCTTTATTGCCGTGTTCTGATGGAAAAACATTGCAGCAGCTGCCGCTCTCTTGTATCTTTTGTAATGTAGTCATTCATGATCTTTCCAACTGTGTCTCTTCTGCTTTGTTTGAAATGGCCACTAGTAATCATATGAAATGCAAGAAATAGCATGGTATATCTCATCAGTGCAGCAAGGTGGCAAAGTAAGGCTGAAACGTAAAACAATCTTTAAACCTAGTCTGCTCATTACCCACTTTTTCAATAATATGTGAACCCATAATACTATATCGCTACCTAGGTACGACTTCAAATATAAATTGCCTACTAACATTAACAAAGAAGAGTCTTCTGTGACAGATATTGAACAGCCAGCAGCCTATTCCTGTCAAATTTGCTCGTGTTTTTTTGCCTGTATTAATTTCAACCTATTCCTTTCATTTTCAAGACAAATAGAGTTGAATGCCTTTTATTTATTTCTTTCTTCTTGTAATTGACTCTATATTTCTTTTCTCCTAATGCTCATCCCTTCTGTCTGACATTTGGCTGAGTAAGGGATAGATGCTTCTGCTTACTTAAGATCGTGCTAGCATAAATGTGTGCTATGATTTATTTGTACAGACCTTTACTTCCTTGGTGAACTCCCTTTGCATTCTTGACCTATGGTATTAGTGAGGATCTTACATAACATTGATTTATTGCAATTGAGCCATGACTCACGAGAGGACTGAATTTTGAATTATGATGTTAGCCTTTGGTGAAAGTCTGAAGTCGACCTTTTTCCCTGCATATCCTTAGAAGCTGATCATAAGAATTTCTTGTAGAGAATGATAATGATCTAACGTTGGTATTCTGCTAGAGGAATCTGCCTTTCATGTGGTATGGGTTTAGTTTCCCTCTCTCAGCCAGCCACATAAATTTTCCGTATTCCCTTTCACTTTATCATCCTATAATGACTCGCAGGATGCAAAGCTTTTTATTGTTAAACCTACTTTATCTTGCAGTTTGGAATGGTAACTCGTATGCAATGTGTGAGAGAGTTAACAGTATCATGTTTTAATATTTAGGTCCTGAGTAGGTGTGGTAACTTGAGACTGGTTAAAAATGCAGAAACCAAGCAGGTGTTTCTACTTCTTTCAAGATCAGCAAATAGAACATAAAGAAAAGCTTATCGAGGAAAAGAAACATCAATCTGTTACTAGGTTTAGCTGTGAACCCAGCCATGCATTCCCTTGTAACAACTGATAGAATGGAACTAGTTTTTTGCCTTCAACGTTAGTTGAAGTCATATTTGTCTTATTTTTCTCTCTCTTTCTTCTCTCTCCCCCCAAACCCTTCAGAAAAAATACTAAAAAAAATCTATCTTTCGTAGGTCAGAAACCAACTATTTAGATTTCTGTATTTCCCCTATGGTCATAGGTTCATACATAGGGCAAGTACAACAGGAACGGGAAAGGAACCAAGTCCCATCAGAAAACTAACTTTTGTAAGTTTTAAATACAAATATGTCCCTAATATGAATTAGCATCATAAAAGCTCGCAAAAACATTGGCTCTTAAACAAAATACAGGAAGAAAAAGATAAATTGAATCAACATTGACTAATTTGAGACTAAGGATTAGTTTAGGTCGAGCCAAGTTTTATTGTTAACTCAATGATTTTCTGAATTAATTGGTGAGAAGTTTGTGTGCATTAAGAGATGGGGAGTTTCAACTGATAGGACCATTTTAGGGGTGGGGCATTTTAAGCTACAATTCTAGATATTGGCCAAAATGAACCTTTATGTTGTTTATTAAGCATGGACTAAGTTTGCCATGTTATGATGAAGGATAAGTATTCTGATGATTAAACAAGGGACTTGCTTTAAGTACTGCAGATCATTTTAATGGTTATAACGTTGTAATCTGGTGTTCTAGAAGTGAGTGTTGTTTGTTTGGTTTTTAATTCATGTAAAATTTTTGAATTTTAGGTCTGAAATTATGACGAAATTTAAAATTTGATTATAATGTTATAATCTGGTCCAGAGGTGAGTTCTATTTGTTTGGCAAGTCATGTAAGATTTTTGAATATTAGGTCTGAAATTATGATGAAATTTGGTGAGAATGGATTCCAATTGCAACCTAAACTTTGAATAGGAAAAAACATTGTTGTTGGTTATGTGTTCAAGGGTTCGAGGACATGGGTGCAACCCTAGAGTATCTTCCAGAATTCTACAGGTCCTGCACAAGGGCAAACATTCCAAAAGATCTCTATCATTTCTCTGAGATATGGTTGGAAGAAAGAGAAGACATCATTGAAGGTACCTCTGAGGTATCTCTCTGCTTCTCTGTGTTGTATTTCACATTGTATGTTCAGCCGAAGTCTTTCTGGGGTACTTGAACCTAGATTTTTTACCTTCACTTTTAGAGTATCAAAATGGCTTTCTTCCTTAACAATATAATGATACGTTGGTTTTATAGAGTTCCAAATGAAACATCGCGAAAAATAGGCCAGCAACGACATTAATGGACCATTTGGTGTTTTATTTTATTATAATAATTTCTTAACTTGCATTCCTACTTTCTGTGAATTATGAACCATATTCCTGTCCTTTTAGCGTCTCCCTTACCATTGCTTTCTGTGCTGAAGACTTGTATTTTTGTCTTTTATGAAAAAATTTGTTTGCTGATAACTAAGCATATGATACCTTTGCTGCTTCAACAAGAACTCCATAAAATATTAAAACAGCAGATCCACATTGAGTAGCCACATCACTCCGTTGCTTCATTTGTGTCTATCTTGGAAAATTACCTCGCCTTGAAATATGTTCTCTTACTACCATTCATGTAGACATTGATTTATATTGCAGAAAATTTAGCTGCGTTATTTTTTCTAATTCTCTTATGAATTGGGTATTGATCTATTATTGGAAGTGACAATCACTCACAAGTATGCTGTTCTATCACCGAACTTCTCTGCAAGTGCTGTATCTGGCTTCCATAGCCTACAGTTGTGTACCTAACAGGAATATATCGTCTGCTGATTTTGAGATTATCCTTCATCTAGCAAAATGGATGCATTCTCTAGATTTTGTCATTCACTTAGAAATGGCAATTATTTTTTTATCTAACTTGGTAAAGGCAGTAATTAAAAGCTGAACTGCTGAAATTTCACCATCTTCATACATGCTGTGTCAAAACATTTAAATGATTTATTGTAGTCCTTATCCTTTTTTGTTTTCCCCCACTCTCTTTTGTCTGTGGTCTGAAATATCTATTCTTTATTCTGCAGATGCAAACAGAAGGCATTGCCATGTATGACCAATGCTATTTCAGCTTGTACTGGTACAAGCATCTGGACTTGCCTAGTGGCCTAGTCTTTCCTCCTTTTGCATGACCTACTTTACTAATATTGAAGTTTCAACTATCTCCAGGATTTCAACTTCAGGTACGAATTGAGGGAATGTTTGATATATATATATATATATATATAAGGCATTGCCATGGTATGACCAAATGCTATTTCAGCTTGTACTGGTACAAGCATCTGGACTTGGCCTAGTGGCCTAGTCCTTTCCTCCCTTTTGCAATGACCTACTTTACTAACTATTGAAGTTTCAACTATCTCAGGATTTCAACTTCAGGTACGAATTGAGGGAATGTTTGATATATATATATCTATATATTATATATTCTTGATTATACTTTAAATAGTTTCCTATTGGTCAATTTTCAAATTTGGTTTTTTTCTAATATATATATATATATATATATCTTGATTATACTTTAATAGTTTCCTTTGTCAATTTTCAATTTTTGGTTTTTCTATTGAAAAATTTGTTAAAACTATACTTTTTTTTTTTTTGAAACTATTGGAAAAATGCAAACTAGATCATCTTAGAAAACTTGATTTCCTTTCTGTTTGATAGTCTGCTTCCACATGTTGCAACCCTTCCCCCATAGGTGTTACCTGTCTTCACTCCTATCTTTTGGTGTATTTCTGCATTTCCAATTGTCATTTTGGTTTTTTTTTTTTTGGTTTTTTTTTTTGGGTTGGGGCGTGGTTGAAAGGATGTGGTACTTTTTTCTTTTTTATTTTTCATATCCTTATTGTTGCAACTCCTCAGTGATAAGGTTGATGATTATGTTGAGGTTAAACTGACTAATGATTTCTTGGTTCTGGTACACGGATAAAAATTTTCTTGTCTATGGCTTTGGTGCAAATCACAATTTTGCCATATAATTATTCTCAGAAATTATATTGCACTGAGCTCAAAACTAGGCCCCCCAGTATGCATCATCACACCAGATGAAGCTCTTGCCCTTGTCTTTTTGTTCGAGTCTGTTTGGCCTTATTGTTTGAGTTGCCATTAATAGAAACACAACTAAAAGTGCGTGGTTGAAGTCAATTCAGATTTGTTATCTCGGAACAGCATAAAATATGCTGCTTTTTCAGTTTCTAAGCCACACTAGATTTTTGCATATTAAAGTAAACACAAAAACACAAGTGCCAACCTAGAATTCTTCGGATGATGCAGAATGAAAAGATTATAAATGAACAAAGAATCTCATCATCAAAGGTTTCTGTTTACATTTCACGTTAGATTTTGCGGCTGCCAAATGCCTAATGCACATTTTATTTTCTATGGATGCTAGAAAACTTGGAGAGTAAAACAAACTGGAGAAGTGTTGATGAATAATTACCTTGATTTCAGAAGCAGGGTTCATCAGTTGGTGCTGTTCCTCTTTCAGCTTGTTGTAGCGTTCAATAACAGAATTCATGCTGAAATGCAAGTGGAGAATCCAAGGAAAAGAGAAAGGAGAATACCATGAGTTTTTGCACAGGAGTATGAATGATTTAAAATCAATATGCAGTGAAAGTATTCCTAATTTATAACCCAAGTAATTGAATTTTTAGTGATTGCTCAAGCCCCTAGCTTTTGTATCGGCCTGATATTGACTCGAGATTACTACTTCTAGTAGAGCCTGATATAGTTGGAACATAGATGCTATAGAGATAGATCTTGTTTAATTGTTTTCGTAGTCTTTTTTTTGTTACTAACGTATATGAAATTCTCCTTGAAAGCAAATTTTAGTGATTTTCAAATTGATATTTTCAATATAGTGAATAGCATTAATTTATTTAATTGCATTCTTTATCTGTGCAAAGTATCTGTCATTAATTAAAATATTGATTCAATTGTTCAAAAGTTAAAAGTAATAGCAAGCTCAAGAGTCAATTTGAGTTGCAATTTTGTCAATTTGAAATCAAGTGCAAATGCCTTGTGAAAAATACATGATATAAATGGAAAATACAAAAAAATTAAACTGTTAGGCCTTTTTTGTGAGCAAAATAATATCAATGATGTGAAATGGAGTTTAATAATTTTGTTTCAAATAAAACGTGGAGTTGTGTCGGTAAAATAGGAACTTTATAATGGTTAATCACTTATTAACCACTAAACACAATTAATTATTAGCTATTCCGAGGAAAAATACTCATGAGAGGTAATGACGGACGGGATTAATTTTATATTCTAAAGGTATGAAACGAGATTAGTATGTGTCACATGCAAAGTGTGTGGGATTCTTGTAAGATGTACAAAAAAATTGCTACAATAATGTAATTTTTTATGGATGTGCTTCATTCCCTCCAAACCTCTCACACAATTGGGAGCTACCAAAGGGGCATATTCAGTTGCATGGACAACAATATCTTCAAGCAAGGCTTCAATCAGAGAATTCTTTTTGTATTTTACTGAAGATAGTTGTGTTCAAACGCAACTTAAAAAAAATTAAAAATAAAATAAACCTCCTCTAATAGGTTCGTTTATCAAAATAACTATTGTTTTGATAGAGTTTAGCTGTTAAGTGTTTGAGTAATTTTTCAAAAAACGTAAAAATTAAACGTTATATGAGTTACTATTTTATAAAATGTTATCATAATCTTTAAAAGTTAGTTCAAAACGCTAAAAGTTATGTAGAAAGTTGTGGCCAAATACAGCCCAAGTTAAATAATACTTAGAGAGAGATTTCTTTGAATATTTCTAAATTGTGAATAAAAGAAGTCAAAAATCAATCTTAAAAACCTTCTTTTTCATCAAATGCACGTACGGTGGAGAAAAAGAAAGGAAAATATATATGATAGGGCTCTCCTAAAAGTAATAAAATTAGGGTTTTAAGTTTTACAATTTTAGAGTTTTAAGGTTTGGGATTTAGGGTTTAGATATTAGGGCTTAGTGTTTTTTTTTCAAGCTTTTAAGAATTTAGAGTCTTAAATTTAAGAGTTTAATGATTTAAGAATTTAAGGTTTTATTAACTCTTAGGTTTTAGGATTTTGGGTATACTATTTTAGAATTTAGAGTATAAAATAAGATTTAGAGTCATTTTACATATGCCCAAAAGAAGAATAGAAACCAAAAATTGTTTTGGCAATTTGTGTTAGGGTAAACTACAAAACCCTCTACACATTAATACCCAAACTAAAGCAATTTCACAAAATTTAATAGAATTTAATTAAATTTCTTGATTTGGAAAAAAAAAAAAAAGAATTGACTTCAACAAAATTGGCTATAATTAAAATCAATTTCTATCAAATTTGATAGAATTTGAAACAAATAAATGTTTGTTATAATGGAATTTGATAGTATTTCCTTTTTAAAATTTTACGATTGGGATAGCTTAGTAAGTAAAAATAAATAAATTTCTATCATGAAATGATATCAACATAATTGTTATAAACACAAATTTAAGTGAATTATAAGCACTTTGCGAACTTAAATTTTATGATAAATTTAAAACTTTTAAATGCGTAATAACTTATAATGCACAAAATATTTTTTATAGTATTCTGTAAAAAATAGTTATTTTTTAAATGAATTTTTACAAAATAATAAATATTATGTTTGGTAAATGATGGATATTTATTGTAAAAAAGTCATGGTCTATAAAATAATAAGTATAGTTGTAAATATTTTGCAATATTTTCAAATATTTTGTAAAAGATGATTATTGTTTGTAAAGCTGATAGATTACAAAATAATAGCTCTAATTGTCAATATTTTATAATACTTCCTAACAATTAGTAAAAATCATTTTTTTAAATTGCCGGATTACATAATAATAGCTTGAATTATTAATATTTTCTGATACTTTATAAAAGTGACTTTTTTTTTTTTTTTTTTTTTTTTTTATACTTTTTTTTTTTTTTTTTTTTTTTTTTGTGTGTGTAAAGTTATGGGATTACAAAATAATAACTTTTATTGCTAATAGCTTGTAATACTACATAATATATTGCAAAAGATGGATTTTTTTTTTTTTTTTTTAAGTTAGTGGTTTACAAAATAATAGTTCCAGTTACTAATATTTTATAAAATTTCTAAATATTTTGTAAAACAATGCTTTTTGTTTTTATAAGTTGCCGAATTATAAAATAGTAACTTCGGTTACCATTGTTTTGTAATATTCACTAATATTTTGTAAAATCTAATTTTTTTTTAGGATAAAAAAGGTAGTTGTTTATTGTACAAGTTGGTGATTTACTAAATTACAGCTATAGTTATCGGTGTGTTGTAATATTTTCAAGTATTTTGTAAAAAGTGATTAATTTTTTAATAAAATTATCGAATTACAAAATAATAAATTTAAAATCCAATTTTTTGTAAAAAATTCTAATATTTTGTAAAAAACAGCTATTTTTTGTAAATTCAAGATAAAAGTAAGGAATTCTCAAAAAAAAAAAAAAAAAAAAAAAAAAGGTATAAACACACAAAAAAAAAAAAAAAAAAAAAAGATAAAAGCAAGGAAATATTTGAAGGAATTGTAGCAAGCACCAAATGAAAATTGTAGAAAAAGATGCTTAAAAGGAAAAACATAAACACATTAAACTACTATTTGTGCAAAGTAAAAGGAAACAAAGAGGAGCCTATTTGAAATATGAATTTTCATGAGCTTATGGGTAATATCAATTCATGAAAAAAGAAAAAAGCATAATTAATAAATTAGCTCCTAAGGTTTTGAAAAGAAAAGGATATGGCTTTTTTCTAAAGTAAAAAGTATTATTATTTGAACAAAATTACTCTCTTCATTACTTAATTTTTATCCCATTCTCTTTTGAGAAGGAATGCCAATTTTGTTTTGTGTATTCTTTACTTTCATATTGACAATAAAGTTGTAGTTGACATTCAACATCAAATTTGATAAGTGAAATTGAAAAAGTGGGGAATTGTGAGGATAATTTTATTTGAAAATTTGTGTTATAGGTACCGTAAAAGTCATGTTCGGCAACAACTTTTGAGCTAGCTTTTAGCGTTTTGATCAAGTTAAAATTTTATCTTTATTAATTATAATATTTGGTAATGTAGCTTTTATAATAACTTTTACAGTTATAGCTTGCATTTCAAGGAGATTTATTAAATTTTTTTTACAATCATGCACATTGTTTTTTCTCGTAATCTTTTATGAAACATTAAACATTATAGCTTGCATTGCACGGAAATTAATTAATTTTTTTTACAATCATACTCATTGTTTTGTCTCACAATTCAACTAATTAAACAGTCAATATCTCTTTTTATCAGTTTAAGTTAAATAGTTAATTAAATAATTATTTTTATCCAACACTTTAAATTTAGACTTCTTGATGAATAAGTATAAGTTAAAAGCTAATAGGTAGTGCCTACAACATTAGATCCAAAGTTTGTTTTCATTTCGGTAACTATGGATAAATGGGAAATATGAGATGTTACTTAGATTATGGATAAGTGTGTTGAGAGTTTCTATGGCTGGTTTAGTTGTAAACGTTTTCTTTTTCTTTTATTACTTTAAAATGGAAAAATAAAACATTGAAGTCCATTATATATTTTCATTTTTACTTTTTTACGAGTATTGGGGGAAGGAGTTCGATTTTGTACTTATTGTCAGGTTATATATGTATTTACTACTAGACTATGTCTTAGTGTGTATTTTCTTATTTACTTATTTCCTATTTTATCTTACAAAAATTAAAAATATATATATATATATAGTTTTATTCTTCTTTACTTGTTATAATTTCTTTTTTCTATAAATTTTTTTAACACAATGCCATTAAGAAATAATAATTCTCTTATTTGCTGTTTAGGGACCGAACCCCTAGCTATCCCTCCCTTCCCTGGTGTAAGGTCTCCCTCGACCCACCTCTCCCTTCCCTGCCAACCCTTCCCTTGAGCCTGTTTGGGTGAGATTTAGGTGAGAGCGAAGGAGAGGTAAATAAAAGTAAGGAGTGAGCATGTTTGGATGACATTGAAGGAAGGTTAACTAAAAGTAAGAAAGGAAATTAATCTCTGCAACCCTATGGATAAGCCTTACCTTTTTTTTTTTTTTTTTTTTTTAAAAAATAGTTGAAGTATATAATTAAATATAAAGTATTTATTACTATCTTTTACATATATTTAAATTTACTCTTTTTACACCTATAAATAATTTTTATAGAACACAATGAACCATTAAAGAAATATGAATAATGAAATCCTCTAAAATATTTATGCTGTATTAAAGAGGAGCCGAGAGAACCCGTCTAGCAATCACCTACCCATTATACACCATGAGGTGATGAGGGTCATACCCATTAGAAGATCTAAACCGCACACTCTCCCATCCAACATGAAAGCCAACACCACGATATAACCTTAGCACCTGTATTTATTAGTGAGAGGATGAAATTCTAGTGTAGAAGAAGAAAGTCGAAACGGAGAGGATTAAAATAAAAGTCAAGAAGGTGAGCAATAGTATTGGATAGAAACATTAGAAGGACAAATGGACATATAACATAAAAAGTAAAAAAGAGAAAATTAATAACTATACATAACAACACTACTATGAGACATAAAAAGACTTAACCTTTTTTTTGTTTTATTTTTATATTTTTATTTTAACTGAATCAAATCTACAATTTATGTGTATAAACGAAATTTAAGGGAGATAAAAAGAAGAAGTGGAATATATTAAAGAATTAAATATCATTAATATATAAAATTATATTTTAGCCAATACATTATATTTGTTTTTCCAACATAGAAAAATGATATTAATCAAATCTAACTATATTAACCAATATTACCATTAAATGTCATCAGGGGCATCAAAAAATGAAATGATTTAGG